CTGCTGGTATATGCTACAAATGTGGCAAGGAGGGGCACTACGCGAGGGATTGTCGCCAGCCGTCCTTAGTTCCAAGTACCAGGATTTGCTATCACTATGATCAGGTTGGCCATATAAAGGTCAATTGTCCATTGCTTGCCACCAAGCCGGTGCAGGCCCTGGCGCCAGCCACTTTAAGGATCACCGATAGGCACCAGGGGAGGATAGAGCCCCAGAGGGCTCAGGGCCGTTCTTTTCAACTTACTGTCGGGGAGGCTAGAGCAGCTCCAAACGTCATGACTGGTATGTTTGTATTTATTATTCTGTTGATTGTATTTTATGTTATGCTCATGTATATGCTCCTAATAGGTACATCCTTAGTGAACTCTTTGCCTACTCTTGTGTTATTTGACTCAGGCGATGGTCGGTCCCTTGTATCTCGATCATTAAGTAGGGAGTTTGATATGCCTATTGGGGAGTTAGAGTGCCCATTGCGGGTTTCAATCGCCAACGAACATGAGCCTCTGCGTCCGCAGTGTTTCATGGTTGTGTATTAGAGATCTTCAGGTGCCTTATCCGATTGATCTGATCCCTTTTCCCGTGGAGGATGTGTGCGTGATAGTGGGTATGGACTGGCTGAGCAGGCTTGGTGCCATGATTTATTGTAAGGGCCAGCGAGTGGTAGTTTGAACCCCAAGTGAGGTAGAACTGGTTATCTATGGAGAGGGCACCAGGGTTAGTTCAGGGTTTTGTTCAGCAGCCCGGACTCGACAGTATATTCATTATGGGTGTGCAGGTTATTTGGATTACGTGGTTGATACTCGGGTTTGGGAACAGACCTCAGTTTCTGATGTGCTAGTGGTCACGGAGTTTGTTGATGTATTTCCGAAGGAGTTACCGGGTGTGCCTCCCGAGAGGCAAGTTGAGTTTAGGATTGATCTAGTGCCAGGTGCGGCCCCGATTGCCATGGCATCGTACCGCTTGGCACCGCACGAGATGCAAGAGTTGTCCTCTCAGCTTCAGGAGCTGTTAGGCAAGTAGTTCATCAGACCGAGCAGTTCTCCGTGGGGAGCGTCGATATTGTTCGTCAAGAAAAAGGATGGTTCACACCAGATGTGCATTGATTACCAGGAGTTGAACAAGTTAACAATGAAGAACCGTTATCCCCTTCTGTGGATTGATGAACTATTTGATCAGTTGCAGGGTGTATCTTGGTTCTTCAAGATCGGTCTGAGGTCTGATATCATCAGGTGAGAGTGAGAGAGGAGGACTTGGACAAGACCGGGTTCCGGACTCGTTATGGGCATTACGAGTTCATGGTGATGCCATTTGGGCTCAGCAATGTGCCTGCTGTATTCATGGATTTGATGAATCGGGTATGCAGGACAATGCTCGACCGATCTTTTATCGTGTTCATTAATGATATCGTGGTATATTCCAAGACCAGATAGCAGCATGAGGAGCACCTTCGAGAACTTCTGGGAGTCTTGAGATGGGAATAGCTTTATGCCAAGTTCTCGAAGTGTGAGTTTTGGTTACAAGAGGTCCAGTTCCTGGGGCACCTCGTTAACCAGGATGGGATTTTGGTCGATCCGGGCAAGATCGAGGTTGTGATGCAGTGGGAGGTTCCGAAATCTCCCTCAGAGATCAGGGGTTTCTTAGGTTTGGCAGGGTACTATCAAAGATTTATTCAGGATTTCTCCAAGATTGTGGTACCCCTCACTCGAATGACGAGGAAGGGAGTGGATTTACGATGGGGCCCCGAGCAGCAGTCGGCGTTTGAGACTCTTCGGCAGAGGTTATGTGAGGCCCCGGAATTACCCTTCTGGGGGGATTCGAGGACTTTGTGGTATTCTATGATGCATCCATTACCGGTTTGAGGGCGGTCCTTATGTAAAGAGGACGGGTGATTTCTTATGCTTTGCGGCAGCTAAAGCCGCATGAGACACGATCACAAGAGTTTCAGACATCTTATGGATCAGCCGAACCTGAACATGAGGCAGCGCAGGTGGCTGGATGTGGTCAAGGATTATGACTGCGAGATCCTTTACCATCTGGGTAAAGCGAATGCGATAGTGGATGCTTTGATCCGCAAGTCGGTTGGGTCTTCAGATAAGGAGGTGTGTATGAGGATATCTGTTGATTCTTCGCTTTTGGGATTGATCAGAGAGGCATAAGTAGAGGGAGTTCGGAAAGAGAACTATAAATAAGAGAGGATCAGGGGTGAGATCGACAAGTTTGTCACAGATAGTCTAGGGTTATTGACTCGGTGTGGTCGAGTTTTGGTTCTAGTTTCTGGTGGGATCAGACAGATTGTACTGGAGGAGGCTCATAAGTCTCGTTTTTCTATACACCTGGGATCCACCAAGATGTATCGGGATTTGATATTGAGTTACTGGCGGCCATGTATGAAGATGAAGATAGCCAGGTATGTCGAGAGGTGTTTGACCTATAGGATGGTCAAGGCCGAGCATCAGAAGCCGCATGACAAGCTTCAGCCTTTGGAGGTTCCCATATGGAAGTGGAACAGATCACCATGGATTTTATCACTAAGTTTCCGAAGACGGCCAAGGGTTTTGATGCTATATGGGTCATCGTGGATCGATTGACCAAAAGTGCCCACTTTTTGGCCATCCGGGAGAGCTCTTCGGCCGAAAAGTTCGCCGATGTGTATGTTTGGGAGATTGTTGCTCGTCATGGGGGTTCGATCTCCATTGATTCAGACCGAGATGTTCGGTTCACCTCCCGTTTCTGGTAGAAGTTCCACGAGGAACTGGGGACGAGGTTGCATTTCAGCACTGCATATCATCCGCAGACCGACGGCCAGAGTGAGCGGACTATACAGACCCTTGAGGATATGTTGCGGGCCTGTGGTATTGATTTTGGTGGGAGTTGGGATTCCTACCTACCTCTTGCGGAGTTCTCCTACAATAACAACTATCACTCCAGCGTTGGTGCTCCGCCATTTGAGCTCTTGTATGGTTGGAGATGTCGTACCCTGGTTTGTTGGGGAGAGGTTGGTCATAGGGTTACAGGAAGGACCGAAGTAGTCCTTTAGACCATGGAGCTTATTCAGGAAAAAAGACAGAGACTGCAGACCGCTCAGAGTCGGCAGAAGAGCTATGCCGACCGGTGCTGATCAGATTTGGAGTTTCAAGTCGGCGATATGGTGCTCCTGAAGGTCTTGCTCTGGAAGGGGGTGATATGCTTCTGGAAGAGAGGGGAATTGGGTCCCCGGTATATTAGACCTTTTCAGGTGATTGCTAGGGTTGGTAAGGTAGCTTACAGGTTGGATCTGCCGATCGAGCTTAGTCAAATCCACAACACTTTCCATGTCTCTTAGTTGCGGAAGTGTGTGTGTTGGACAACGAGGTAGTTGTTCCGTTTGATGATATTCAAGTCGATGAACGCCTGAATTATATTGAGATGTCGGTGGCTATTCTAGAAATATAGATGAAGGTCCTGCGCAACAAGGAGATACCTTTGGTAAAGGTACAGTGGCAACATCGGAGAGGCTCCGAGTGGACATAGGAGCCGGAGGCGGAGATGAGGGAGCATTACCCCGAGTTATTCACTTCTGCAGACTTCGAGGACGAAGTCTAAGTCAAATGGGAGAGAATTGCAACATCCTGATGATAAGGTACTTCTAATTTTGACCCTATAATATTATTATATTGCAATTTGGACCATAAGTATAAGAAAGTTTGCAATGAAGGCCCTAGTGGCATTTTCGTAATATTGGGGTTGAGGGAGTACGCCATGCGTACGTGTGTACGCTGAGCGTACTAGGGCGCGCCCTAGTATGCTGGGCGTATATATGTACGTAGGGCGTACGTTCCCGACATGAAAACCCTAATTTTTAGGGTTTGGCTCATATTTAAATCTCATTATAACCTCTTTTCCTCTCACCTCATCAGCCTCCATCCTCTTGATATGTTTTTGCAACCCTAATCCATCTTGTGAAGCATTTCTAAGCTTGAGAGTATGTGTTTTATGCTTTTGAAGAAGAAGGAAGGAAAGAGAGACCACCTTGGAAGAGTGAAGCTCTTTAGATCGAGGATCACACCATCCTTTGGCACCCAGTGAGGTGGTCCAGTCATGCTGAAGGTTCTGGGAGCGGTCCAAATAGTTTATAGGCCGGTGCGGTGTTCCAGTGAGGTTGAAGGCTCTGTATGCATGTTTTTTGTTATTGTGTTTATGTGGTGGTAGTTTTGAGGAACTGACTAAGAGTTGGCTTACAGTTTTGGGTTGTGGTTTCAGGTAATTCGGATGATCACGGAAAGGCAAAGGCATGACCGTACATATCCTATTGTTTATGAGTTATGATTTTGGGAGACTCTGATGTTTGGAAAAATATTTTGAAAACTATGATTTGTAAACAATTTATGGTTTTCGGTTGACTTTAAAAGTTTAAATTTCTTGTGATTTTTATGGATTTTACAATTTCTCTCCCTCTCTATTGACTGATCTCTTACACAATCCTGTTTCCCTCTAAAATAAGATGATGTTCATATGTTTTTGTTTTTAGGTGCAGGTTGTGGAGGGAGGGAGGGAGAGAGAGAGAGAGAGAGAGAGAGAGAGAGAGAGAGAGAGAGAGAGAGAGAGAGAGAGAGAGAGAGAGAGAGAGAGAGAGAGATGAAGATGGGTGATTCATAAAGAATATGATGAAAAATGGAGCCCCATATTCTTCCACTACTGAATCATGAGAGAGAGAGAGAGAAAGAGGGGTGGGCCCTCAATATATAAAAAATATAAATATTAGATTTAAAAAACTAAAAGAAAAATGGAAAATAAATATCCCAATGGTATTATAGTCATTTCAATATTCAGAGGAACGAAATACGCAACGAAACTAGCTCAAAAGGACCACTAATCCAAAAAAGTTAGGGTTTGGACTAAAACTCGGAAGAAATGCATACCACATGTACCATTTTTGCAGTTTTATCATTATGTTAATCGACAATTGTTTTTTCAAATCATTTATTTCTATGATCTTAGACAAATTTTGAGAGCATATCTAGATCTTATCCTAAATCAATGTGACCATTAGTTTTGGTTGCTTGTAACATAAAAATGTAACTCGATCTAATGTAAAATTATTTACAATAATACCATTCATGCCAAACATTTGATTTTCATAATACACAAGGAGCTCCCATTTATCGACTCTCCATGTCCTCATCCTTGTATTGCAACAATGGCGATCTTGGTGTTGAGGATGACTCCAAGTTTATAACTTCATCTTTCACCAAATCTTCTTTCGATTTTCCCCACATCACTGTATAGAACCCAATCGATATTATCACTGCACCGATCACACTACATAGAGACACAAGTTAGTACCATTCTTTCTCTCTTTTCATAATGACACAAACGAAAGTTTGAAAGGGATACACCACCCTGGCACCCCCAACCAACAAGTCTCAACCCAACGTTTGAAAGGTAAATCACAGTATCTCCAAAGCAAGAAAGGTGATGAATTATGCATAGGTTTAAACTTGAGACCTCACTTACGACATATGATTGCTTCCCTTCTGACTTTTAGAGCAAGCATGCAAGAATATGGCTCAAAATATAACACACACACACACACACACACACACACACACACATATATATATATATATATATATATATATATATATATATATATATATATATATATATATATATATATATATATATATATATATATATATATATATATATATATATATAAAGAAAGGGACATATTACCTTCCAAGGTAGAGGTCATCGCCAAGAAACATGACACCCAATGTGAATGCTATAACAATTGACAACGGCTTAAACATGGCCACAAACAATGGTCCCTTTAAACGTAACACCCACGTATCAACACTATTGCTAATGCATTTACCAAGTACACCCTAAACAACTCAAAAACCGAAAAAACTTGTTTAGATATTGATAAATCGATCATAAAACCATGATCATTGATCATATGTGGTGCTCACCGAGCATAAAATCGATGCCAATGCTATATCAGGCTTGATCTTCCATGAACTTGAATCAGGTTCTGTAAAAGACCCTTCTATTGCAGCCAAAATGCTCACAATTAAGTTGTAAAAGAACACCACTGTTAATTCTGCTGGATACTCCTTCATGATCTGTGTCTGCATACATCAAATAATTGTACTAAATCATTAATCGAGTTACTCACATAGAGATATGCAAAAGGGCCTAAGCCGGAATAAGCAAAACCAGCAAGAATTCCTAATAAGGTTTTTACACCGGTAGAAGCCCTATTAGGTAAAAAAATTATTCAAATATTATTTATAATAGTAATTAGTAAAAAAAATATTCAAATGTTATTTATAACAATCACTAGTAAAAAAACGCCATCATTCTTGTTTTGAGGCTTGGACTGAGCCTAGAAAGACCTATGTCTTTTTAAAGACATCATGTCTGATTAGATAGGCACCTAGTGCATGTCTAGCTTCATATATAGGATGAACACGAACATTTGCACTAGTACCAATACGATGTACCACAATGGTACCAAGATGTACTCTGAGGTTAAAAAGAGACCACCAAGAGCCCAGTTTGATTGTGAAGAACTTAAGGAAACAGTTGGTGATTGAGAAGGCGAAGGTGTGAGACTCCAAATAAGCTTTGGACCTTTGTATAGTGTTACAACCAATGCACCTATTACAGAAACGACTGTGCCAAAAAACTTTGCGCGGGTACTTTTTTTAGTAAAAGATAGTGTCTCCATCCTGTAATTTTGCCATGAAAATGAAGTGAGTCATTACTGGTAAGTCCATAAGTATGTAAACCTATCAACTAGAGAACATAGAAAAGATAGCCACCCACTTGATAGTAGGAATCGAGACAACTTATTATTTATTTTTTTTTCTAATTAGTTCTCTTTGGGAAAAAGTGGAGAATTTTCTAAACACGTATTTCTGGAACCAAAAAAATAAAACAAAAAATTATCTATCCATCTACTTATATATATATATATATATATATATATATATATATATATATATATATATATATATATATATATATATATATATGTCTATCTATCTATCTATATATCTTATAATAGAGACATATTCCTAAGCACCACATCGATTTAAAACTCCTATGTCATTTCTTATTCTCAAATGTCTATTAATAATTATAAGTAATTGATTTAGCATTAAACACCAAATATGCTAAATAAACTCTTAGATGTAAGAAGGATGGGATAAAAAAAGTAAAAGAAAAAAAATTCAGTAGACATAACTATTTCAGAACATATTTGCAGTGATGGAGTGCTTAAGAGTGCTATACAAATCACAATTGTTGATGAATGTATCATTTTTTACTCATAAACTGATAGTTATATATAATTTTTTCTATTTGTTTATAAATGCCTAACATGTTTGATTTTTTTCTAGTGGTGTGCAATTCGAGTGATGGTTTGCAATTTTCAAAGTTACATGTGAGAGCATCATCATTAGCATATTTTTTTATTTTTGTTCAGAAATATTTCAATATATTTTGTTCTTTTCTTTATTTTTTTGTTTCCTTTTCTATTTATAGTTGTAAATTGGTTATAGCTATGCATGTTAAGTATATTGATATGCTACATAATTTGTTTCATAAAAGCTCAATTTTAAGTCGATCGTTATATCAAGTTGTACAAATCATATATGGATTGGCCTAAAATGAGAAGTTTACAAGCTTAACAATGTCTCTTTTATAATTAACTTAATGTTATTAATAATTTTTTATTGTATGCCTTAAAAGGCAACAAACATGCTCTAATGATTTTATATCAACTTCATATAGATATAATTATTTCAAGGTTAATAATAACGGTATGTTTATTGTAATACTATATATATATATATATATATATATATATATATATATATATATATATATATATATATAAAACAAATTCGTTTGAAATTCTCATAACAAAAGAGTTTTCTAATTTTTTTTACTTAAAAGTAATTAATCACTAGATTTCAAAAAAAAAATTAACTTATGAATAATAATTGATAATTACTTTTAACTTCTTCTCATTTATATACATTGCAGGTATATTAGTAATATACATAAAATTTCTCACAAAAAATCACATGCTTTAAAAGATTTATGAGCAAAATATTACGAGTTGAAAAAAATGAGTTATGCCGCATCATGGTTATTACAACGCAAGTTTCTCTTGAGACAATAATGTTTCTATATATAAAATATATGTTGATTTCTATATATTTGTTATTATATTCTTAAAAGTTGTAGTATTTATGTTTTCATATATTTGTTATTTGTTAAATACAAAAATCAACGCCGTTTTGTATAATTTATAAAATTTAAAAAGGTCTATAAAATAATCAAAAATTATATTATTTATTTTTTATACTATTTGTTATCCATTTTATATATATATATATATATATATATATATATATATATATATATAAATCAACTTATGTTTGACATATTTTATACAACTTAAAACGGTCTATATAATCATCAATTAATCGTAAACACAATTAATGACATAAATTTAAGGTTTAATAAAACTAATATATTAATTATGAAGTTGTTTTGCTACTCATATTGCTTTTTAATGTATAAATATCAAATTATAATTTATATATTAAAAAATAGTATTAGAGTAGAGTTGTTTGTTTGTTGTTAAAAAAACTATATACCCATATTATTACATAACTTTTGAGAATTCATTTAGTTTCACATTAATTTTCCTCTTTTTATACAAACTCAAAAAGCAAATAATATGAAAAAATCACCATTTTAATAAATATTCAAATTGAATATCGTTAACATTTAATTGTTCTGTTTATTGTAATATTCTGTAATGTGATATTACAAACACACACACATATATATATATATATATATATATATATATATATATATATATATATATATAGATATATATATATATATAACATGTTTCATTTCATAAATTGAATTTTTTTTGAAGTATTTAACAAAACAACTATCGATTTTATGACGGCTACGAATTCTTATAAAATTTGCAATTACCTTTTACTCACAAAACAATTGACATTATCATTTTGCGGTAACAAAATTATTTCAAAAAATCCGAATAATATGCAACAAAATTACAAAGCATTATTTTATTTTATTTTATTTATTATTAAATTTTCTATGTTTTCATGATGTGGACCGTTTTAAAGCAATTTATTGTGATATATAGTTTTTTAATACATCATTAATTTTTTAAATGAAACCTTACATTTTGATCAATCTTAAATTTAATTTTAAAAAATAAAATGATTATAAATTTAATTAAAAATAATTGATACCTAACGATGACCGATATTGAAAAAAAGAAGTTGTGTTTCTAGGACGTATCAAAGGGAGCGAACCTGAAAATGACCGCAAGGATGAAGGTAAAAGCGGGAACAAGATTGCTAATGGCGGAAGCAAGCGTCGGAGAACTATAAATTATTCCGTTATACCCCATGATCTGCGACATATACCTATTCATAAACAGATTCAGTTTAATCCATCTTCATACTTAGTTATCATCATCGATCAATGATCAAAGAAACAAACGATATACCCAATGATTCCCAATAGCCCGATTTTGCTTACAATCGAAAAATTCACCGGAGGAAGCACCGTTGATCTGTTTTTCATCAAAATTTTACTATCACACAAAAATCTGCCGGAAGTTGACGCAAAAACGTATGTAACAGATATGAAATACCTGGAGGAGAAGAAGGGTGCCGGAAGGAGGAGGAAGGTGGCGATGGCGTAGGAGTAAACGATTAAAACATGGTAACTCATTCCTCGGAGCGTGGCGGCTTTGTACAAGGTGTTGATGCCGACGCTGTTGCATTCCATGGTGACCATGGCAGCGAAGGGTAGGACCTCCTTATAACAGTAGTATCTTCCGTCGCCGGCCATGTTTTCCAGTGAGTGTGTTTTTGGGTAGAGAGCAATGATTGATGCATATTGCCTAGTTTAATAGAGAAGAAGCACAATCGAAGCTTACGTAAGGTATGACAACTATTTCCTTTTATATATATATATATATATATATATATATATATATATATATATATATATATATATATATATATATATATATATATATATATATATAGAGAGAGAGAGAGAGGATCATTTGAAAGCTCAAAGTTTCCCGAGAACCCGAGAAACAAACCAGGGCCGTTAGATCAAAATCATAAAAGGTTAGGATCGTTTGTGGCATTTTTGTAAATACATGGTAAAAAAACAACACGGGGGCATGATAACTAAATGATTCGGGGGCATTTTAGAGATGAATTACTTGTGCGTCTCTCTCTCTATCTCATCCAACCTCCTACCGTCACATCGCCTCCAAAGACGGCCCCTTCGCTCATCTTCTTCTTCATCGTCGTTGTCTTTGGTCGCCGGAGACGATGTCTTCATCCGTCATGACTCCAATCGTTGAACATGGAGGAGCATCACTTCGGTAAATCATATGTGTCGCAGGAAGAAGACGATTACAGGTTCACTCTCTTCAAAACTAACCTCCGCCACACAAATCGTCATCAAAAGCTTGATTTGTCTGCTTATCCATGCCGTCACTGGATTCTACGACATGACTCCATCAGAATTTCGAAAGCATCACGGATTGAGATCTCGATTTTATATTTGGATCCAAAGTCCATCGTCATTGATTTATTCGGTTAATCAGAAGAGAACGAAGATTGATTTCGAAAACTACAGAAAACTCTGTTGCTCGTTTCCTCTGATCCTATGATTATGTAAGTTTCACTTTTCTATTGATTTTCGTTAGTTGTTTCAGTCCAGGAAGAAGGTCAGATTTACATTCTTTTTTATTTTATTAAACTGATAGCAATTATGAACTGATAATTAATTTGATTTTGATTTTTGATTTCTTCTGTTTCTTATAACAAAATTAGGGATAATATTATGTAATGCTATTCTAGTGTCAGATTTATTGTACTATTCTATGATATAGGTTTAAATTTGTTGATTGGTTAATGCATTCAAGGTGTTTGTTAAAATGCATCAATGAAAAAGACTATAGAACGATCAATTATGGTTATATGTGTTGTAAACTAGATAATTTTACACAAATTTCTTTTCTTTTCTGAATTGAACTGCTACCTTTTTTATGTGTTATTAACTTTGCTAATTCTTATAGATAAAGAGATTCATTTGAAAAAAAAAATCATTGACTTAGATGCAATTTATAGGAGATAAAAGACATTGGTCGATGTTTCAAGACTAAACATGTCACATGGGGATCATTCTTCTCATCAAAAAGTCATGGATCTGGTTAAAGAATACAATGCTCAACATAAGGATAATGTCATTGCAATACCCAGAGACTACAAATATAATTTACTTGAAGTTATCTAACATGTATATTGTTTTACAGGGACATTTAAAAGCGCTAATTCTAGAGCATGCACCACCACCTCCCCCATAGCCGAATTTACAATTGCTAATTTAATAAAAATGGGATTCCCACATTGAGGTGAGTGACTGACTGTGAGTCTTTTTTTATAAAAAAAAAATCATTTCAATTTTCAACCCCATTCAGTCCTATATTAAGTACTTAATCAGACACAATGTTTGTCTGGAACAGATGTTGCATCCAAATTAGATAAAACTCAAAGATTATAGTAGCTTGCTCTTGTGGAGGTACAATGAAATCTAGCAGCAGATATTATCCAATGTTTTGGTGTTATTCAAGTAATGCAGTCGACTGGATCCTCCTTACGATCTATACTATCAAGAGTGAGTTTTATATCTTTTAATACTTATTCATTTGAAGTTTATAAAAGTGAATGATGTTGTAAATAAATTGTTTTTTCTACAGTTGGAGGGGACAAATTGGGTGGTTTCTGAACTTGCGACTGTAGTAGCACAAGATATAACTCTTCTTGATCAATGTGAAGCTTTATTCACTTGTGCATATTCTCTATAGGTAAATATTTACATTTTAAATTGTCAAAAAAATTAATAAAACTACAAAGGAACATGTAAATAACATGTAATTCATATGTAAATCACAAGTGATTCACATGTGAATCACAAGTGATTCACATTTGAATCATAAGTGATCCACATATAAATCACAAGTGAATCACATATAAATCACAAGTGATTCACATGTAATGAATCACATGTAATTCACATATAAAATCACATGTAAATCACAAGTGAATCCCATATGAGTTACATATTAATTACATGTGATTCACATGTAGATCACAAGTGAATCACATAAGAATTACATGTGATTCACATGTAAATAACATGTAACTCACATATGAATCACATATGAATCACATGTAAATCTTATATGATATATGCATCTGCACTTTTGTGAGTGTTCTTGCATTAATCAAAATTTTTTAATTTTCTTGTAGATTTTGAAGAATTTGTGGAAAATATTGAAAAGGTGAAAAGTGATAAATTGAAGAAAATATGAAAATCTTGATATGACGAAATGATAACATTGTGAATCTTCGTAGCATTTTTTATTTTTTATATTTTATTTTGTATCGAATAAAATACTTGTACTATTATGTTTATAGATTGATTAATAAAAATGAGATTTTTTATGATTTACTTACGAATATTATAGTATAAGAAATATGCATATATTCATTTGAAAAAAAATATGAATATATGCACCTAAAATGTTGATTTTTTTTTGTTAAAAAAATTAGAGTTTTTTTTTTTAAATATTCTAGTTTTTTTTATATATAAATTTACTGATTTTTAAAAATTTATATTTTTTTAAAAAATGCAGCTTTATTAAAAAAATTGCAGTTTTTTTAAAAAAAATTACAGTTTTTTTTTAAAAAGTTGCACTTTTTTTGAAAAAAATTGCAGTAATTTAGAAAAAAAATGCAGTTTTTTTGAAAAAATTATAGTGTTTTTTTAAAAGTTACTGTTTTATTAAAAAATTTGCAGTTTTTTTAAATACTGTTTTTTTTTCAAAAAAATTGCAGTTTTTTTTTTGAAAAAATTGCAGTTTTTAAAAAAAATTCAAATTGTTTAAAAATTTATGCTTTCCAAAACAGTTAAAAAAATTTGCAGTTTAAAAAAAACGAAAAATTTTTTTTTTTTTTTTAAATCCAAAATTTTGTTTTATATATAGGTTCAAATGTGGATGAACAAATATTGTGTGGATGTAAGGATTAAAGTGGACCTAGAATTACAGAAAAAGAGTTGTAACAGATATATGGAGAGTATCCATCTTTAACCATGTTTTGATTATTTATATTACATTAATCTAAAATAAATATATTAATCTATCTTTACAATGTAATATTTTCCTTGATTCTGCTTCTTTAAGTTCAAATGCTACAATTGTTCCACTATTTTGAGAAGGTTCAGAGTCCCACTGATGCTGGTAGAATTGGTCATTTAGTTCTCCCAACGGCATGTGCTGAAGTAAGTATATTGTATATTTATGAGAAAAGACAATTATGTCCTTTGAATAATACTCAAGTTCACATACTCTACAGGCATATTTTCCAACTATTTATCAACCAGAGGGGCTTCCAATCAGAATACAGGATGTAGCAAAGTTGTTTGGAAGAACAATGGTGGATGCAAATTAAGAAACAATTTCATGACAATTAAGATTCACCACACCAAAATGTCAAAATATAACAGCATGAAACAAGAATGAGAATGAAGATTCTTTCATTAATGATATCGTATTCTTATAGAATGAAGATTTTTTTTTCAAAAATGACTTACTATAAAGCTTGTATTTTAATAGAATGTGGAAAAAATTCAAAAAATATCTGTATTTTTATAGAATGTGACAGTAAAAATTGTTTTTTTTTGTTTTTTTTTGGACCTTACATTCTTCAATAATGTTAATAATTGATGATTATTCTTTAAGAATGTTGTTATGCTTCAACTCATGGTTCAAAATTTTGTTATTCTTCAAAATGTTCATTCAATCAGAATATGTATTCTGTCAGAATTTGTATTCAATTAGAATATGTATTCTATTAGAATATGTATTTTAAACTCTTGGTCCACATTCATTCTTATATCCACACAATACTTACCATCCACATTATAACCTAGCCCTATATATATATATATATATATATATATATATATATATATATGGAAAAGTTCAATAGAGAACCATAATTATTGGTTCTTCAAGGAACTAAATCTTTTTTTCAATTTCTAAAGCTTATTCTTTATCGAAAAAAAAATCTAAAAATATCTAAATTCATATATTAACATTGTGAATGTGAAAAATATTTTTCGGATTCACGTTGTGAATTTTCAAAGATTCACATTGTGAATTTGACGTAAAAAAAATCGAATTTTATATCATTGGAAAAATGATAAAAAGTTATGAATTTATGTATTTTTAGTTTTTTTTTTTTTTGATAAAAATTAAGTTCTAAAAGTTGAAAAAAAGATTGGTTCCTTGGTTAATTATGGTTCTCTATTGAACCTCACCCTATATATATATATATATATATATATATATATATATATATATATATATATATATATATATATATAGAAAATAGGTTAATTTTTGAAATCCAATAAAAACATGACATTTGTCATTTTAATATAAATTACATGAATGGTCCATGTGGTTTACGATATATATCCCTAATCTACCAAACACCACACATTCAAGACTCTCTCTCTCTCTCTCTCTCTCTCTCTCTCTCTCTCTCTCTCTCTCTCTCTCTCACTAGAAAAAATAGACATGTGTCACTTTCTGATTGGTTCATATACTTGTAACCCTAATATGCATTTTCTATTTATCTTTTATATATATATATATATATATATATATATATATATATATATATATATATATAGGTAAAAGATCAAAATGCAAAGTTACACTACAAAATAAGATTTGATCATTTTTCTTGCATTCAAACACTCTAACTCCCTTGAAGCTCT